ACATATGTATCTACTGAAGATGATCCGAAAATGGATCGAAATGTCTGGATGTATTAGATGTACAAAAAAGTTCTGAGCTTTTTTTTGTAAAATTCAATCTTTATTCAAAAACAAACAAAAAAATATTAACCAGCGAAATATTCCCCATTTGCATCGGTCTTTTGCCATCTTTCGGGTAGCTTGCGAATTCCTTGACGAAGCTCACCGGCTTCGAAGCGATAAAGTCAATGCATTTTCGTATCTCTTCAACTCTCACGAAATGTGTATCAGCCAAATGATGCAGCGACCGGAATAGGTAATAATCGGAAGGCCATGTCTAGGCTATACGCCGCGTGTGGGAGAAGTTCCCAGCCTAACGCAAAGATATAGTCCTGAGTCGCCTTCGCAACATGTGGTCGAGCATTGTCATGAAGCAAGATCACTTTACGACATCTTTGGCCAGTAAATGGCCTCTTTTCTTCTAATGCATCGCTCAAATTGGTTAATTATTGTTGGTAGCGGTCTGCCATGATGGTTTCCCGGTTGTAACAACTCGTAATACAACACACCTTTCCAATCCCACCAGATACAGAGCAAAACCTTCTTGGCATGGATATTGGGCTTTGGCGAGAGATGTCGAAGGTTGACCAGGGTCAACCCATGATTTTCTACGTTTAGGATTATCAAAGAATCCACTTTTCATCGCCTGTAATGATTTTGTGCAGAAAATCTTTTTTCCGGAACTTTGAAAGCAAAGTGAGTGCAGTGTCACGCCGACGATTTTTGTTGTCTTCGGACATGCGGAACCCATCTGCCTTCCTTCTGAACCTTTCCCATCGTATGTAAACGTACGGAAATGGTTTGCTGCATAACGCCAAACTGTTCTGCAAGCTCCTTTTCAATTTGCGCGAGAGTTTATATCCAGCAGTGCTTGCAATTCGTCCGTTTCAATCTTTTGAGAGCGTCCAGCATGCGGTTCATCTTCAAAACTGAAATCTCCTTGGCGAAATTTTTGATACCATTTGATACCTTTTACATGTAATATGACTTACACTATTCTCTCCATATGCAGCACAAATCATTGCAGGCTTCAGCAGCATTTTTCTTTAGATGAAACGCGAAGTGGATGGAAAATCGAATATGTTCTTTTGTTATTGTCATGTGAACACTACTGATTTTTGAGGTTATGTGCATCAAACGCCAAACCGTATGGCATTTTAGAAGGCCAAATGTCAACGCTTTAAAACCGCATAAGGGCGGGAAGATATATAAAATTTAAATTGTTATTTCGGTTGTATGAAATCTAAAGCTCAGAACTTTTTTGTATACCTAATAAGAAGAACCTTAAATACAGATAGGATTTAATGGATAATTTTTTGCGTCTCATTTACTGTGCCTGACTCCCATTGCCCTTATTGTCATTTTTATTTGTTTTTGAACACTTTAATCATTTCCGTAATATCTTTGTAATGAAAGATTTTAATTCATACTTTTTAAGCAGCGAGTCAAGTAGTGATTCACTTGAGAATGAAACAAACGAAGAAATGTCAACTTTATATAGTATTTTGATATTATAGCATTTTTAATATTCTTTAAATGATGCTCGTATATAATATTGTATATAATTCTTCTTTTTTCCCAAAAAGAATTGGAATATTTATTTTATCTTCCATTTTCAAAATTCAGAAGTCTTGTTATCCTTCCAATTTTGCTCTATGCATGACACAGAACATATATTAAGAGAAATGAAAGGTCTGTATATAAGATGGACAACAAAAGATGAGACTGCTATCTGGTGATGGAGTGCGAACTAAAGTAAATTGTAGGGTTTCGTCTCATATATACATGTAATCTTTTCAATATCGAAATTTGAAATATAGATATTAAATGATAATTAGATGATTAAATAGATATGTAAAATTAATGAAAACGAAAATAAACACTATATACAAAATAGACGTATTTATTACAAAATAAACTGCACAAATACAATATATTTGCACCAATATTTACATGTACCTATGAATAGAGATACCATGCTTTGTATACTTATCACAATATATGCATCACAATAATATCACAGAAATTATCTTAGATACTGTATGTTGTATTACATGTTAGCATATTACTTGTTTATAGCCTACTGAGGGATTACCGCCTCGTGATTTGCTCTCACAAATGTGAATCGCCAGCGTTCATTGGAGATCCCGAGAAAATAGCGAGACAATGGACGCGCGGGGCAGTTCCGCCCCTGGCGTCGTGAGCCTCTACGATTTTCTTGTGCAACCACGAGCGTGAATGTCATGACGCGACGGCGACAACGCACTAATTATCGTCTTACTCCGTTTTCAAAGTGACAACTCTTCTTTTTGCGCTCTTCCTCGCATGACGGCCGCTAGTAGTTGAGCCTTTCATATACAATGTTCCATATAATTTCTATATATGTAAGTGATGTCCATAGTGTATGTTCTGGAAAAATAAAATATAAAAAATTATAATACAAGATTCGTCGATTAGAATATACAAATTTATAAATTTGATTACCTTTTGCTCGTATTTGCACACACATATTTAATAATCCAGTACCAGCAATACACATATCCAATAATCCAGTATTGCTGGATCAGCGAAATAATCTGAAATAAAATTTATATTAATATAGCTTTTTTTTCTTTAAACTCTGTTTAAAAAATTAATAATTTCTTTCGTCTCGACGATTAAAGAATAAAAAATGCAAATTTATGTTGATATTATATTGCCACAAAAGCTTGAAAATTTGAATACAAATTGATAATAATATTAATATATAATAAATATGATAGTCATTGTACTTCTTATTTATTAAATTAATTAATTATTGTGTTAATTATTGGTTGATTAACTATTTAAATAACTAGTATTATAAAATATTTATAAAAGTTGCCGAAACGATCAGAACTCTGTAATGGAGATCATGAGTGCCACTGCGTTTTCTGATTGGTTACAACCCCCGTCCCTCCTCCACTTTCGAGTGCCCTCGTTTTTCCGTGTTGCAGAAAACCATGATACAAGCTTCATTTCCGTGATGCATGAATCTGTATGAAGTGCCTCAGCTCGCGAGGTCATGCGGTCTCATGCACCAGAAGAGACGGAGTCAGTGCGATTGGCGATAAGTTGACTTATGCACGCAGGGAATGCGCATGAAG